TTAAACTCCTCTCCTGCTCCCACAGCCCAGAGCAGAAATGCACAGGGTGCACGTAGAGAGCTGGGCTGCCCCGAGCCTCCCACCCCAGCACACTACCTTTACCTGCTGTCAGGGACGAGGAGAGCGACGTCAGGCGGCCGCATTTATAGGGACAAGAGCACAAGCCATGGTGGAAACACACCCTGTAGCTGTTCATCCTGCCGTGAAAAAGCTCTGGTCCAGATTGTGTTTATTGTCAACACAAATTAAATGCACGCTGCGTGTCATACGCTGCAGCTGATGATCAGCTGATTCGAGCATTCACTGCTCTTAACGAAACCTATATGTTCCTAAATAACAACAGAGGCTGGATTCACTGACAAAACAGAACAGTGAAGTGTGAAAGTGTCAGCGTAAACAGGCTACTACAAAACACTTCAAGAACAAGGCAGTAATGTGTACGTGCACATGCAGTGGCATAAATAAAGCATACTGCTTCAACATTTCTTTGGCAGAATTCAAACTGAAAGACAAAGATGGCAGTTCTGCTTCCCTGGAGTCAGACAGAGAGGCAGAAAGACCCACTAGGGTTTGCCATTAAAGCTCTAAAATGTGCCCATATCACGCTTCATCATCAAAACACAACCGCTCCCTGTCATGACATGTCCATTACAGATCAGAGGGGGAGGGCCCCCGACACCGGAGCGATGTCCTCCATCTCTTTTAAACCTCCTCTTTGTTCAGCAGACCCTGATTTCAATATTCAAATGGAACTCAGCAGGGCGGTGAAGCAGTGGTGGAGACGCTGGCTGCCAGGGGATCAGGACAGGGCAGACGGTTGGTGGTGTGGCTGGATCAGAAGGGTGGGTTCACTAAACTCTCTCTCATCCAGACGCACATCAGGACAGAGAAAGGTGACCCCGGAGGTCACAGACACGTCACGGTCAGAAGTGAACACAAACAGTCATAGAGTCACTGCTAAACGTAGCAGAGAAGTGACATATCAGGGTGACACGTAGCGGAATATTAATACAGCTAAAGATTCAGGTAGGTGGGAAGTGAGTGCAGACTTTTACAGACTCTGAGCTAACAAGCCACATTTGAAAGTGAGAAATCACAGCAAAGTAATTAGTGAGACACTGGTATTGTTTAGCAACCTCCCACAGATCTATTATGGTCATTCTGTGAAACATTACAGCAATAATTTATTGGACCTTTATTAGAGAGACCATGAATCTCAACCACGTCCATATGTCAGGCCCAGGGCTGCAACTAACTGTAAGAAAATAGTGAAAAATGACCAGCAACATGTCCTAAAACTCAGCCCCACCGCGTCATATGGCTTGTTTTCACAGTTTGAACAGCCACAAACCCAAATATATTCAGTTTATTGTCACATAAGACGGAGAGAACTCACACAACTCAGAAGGTGGAAGTAGGTAACTGTTTGTGAAAAACAACTTCAGCACTAACCAAAACAGCTGCTGATTAATTTTAGGTCAATCAACAAATCAGCTAACTGACTAATCAACAGATGAGTCTGACAGGCTTCAACCCTGCGTATTGACTTTCAGAGGATGGAGAGCCTCACGTGTTAAGAAAGAGGAGAGCAGCATGAGCTCTTCCCAGCATCTCTACATCCCGGCTGGGCTTGCACAGCTGCGCCAACACAAAGCGGCACACAGAGGCATCTTTCTAAATGCCAAAGACGCTTTTCTTGTCACAAGAAACGTGCACAGAGCAATGGGAACGAGGGTGTGAGAGCGATCGCTTTTCCGCAGAGGCAACAGTGGGTGGATTGAGTGGAGATGCGTGGCCTGTGTCACCCTGGCCTAGTCCCAGAGCGAAGGGACAGGAAGTGGCCAGGGATCCTGGCAGGATACAAGCCCTCCTCTGTTTGTCTCTATCAAACCACTATCAGATACTTCATTCAAATGGCCAGGCCCCTCTGACAGAGAGCTGGGAGGGATATGTCGGAGCACTTCACTTGTGCATCCTTGTCATTCAGCTGCCTCCACTGGGTGCAACGGACAGCTTTGTGGCTTCACATCTGAACAGTGCGCTCACTAAATCAGGAAGTAATACAGCACAGCGGGGACTTTAAAGCAGGAACGACATGGAGAGTGACACTAAATCAGTCCACGGACACACAAAAGTCTAAACCGAAAGAGAGAGTCAGATAAAGGAAGAGAGAGACATGAGACAGAGAGAAAGAGTGGGAGAGCAGGTGGCACTGGCATTCTCATGCTCAACTGCATGCCCTTCAGTGTAACCTGGCACTAATTAGCAGCAAATCTGGGCCAGAGCAACAGACGTTTTGCATGTGTCACACAAAAAATTCAAAGGCATTTGTCAGTGGGAAGCCATGACTCATCGGGAGCCCCTCTCTCATGTTTACAGCCCCTGTCTCTTCCTCTCTCTTTGGAGTGTACTGCTCACTTCACTGGGAAACGGAAGAGGGGCGGACAGTGACATCAGACAAGTGTTGTGTTTCTTAAATACAGTACCCCAAAGCCAAAAGGGAACAGCACAGAAGAGGCACACTGCCTCCACTACTACGACTACTAGAGCCTGGACTCGATCACTGTCAACCTGCCCTCGGCCATCTTTTGATTTTTGTTCCTCTGGCCAATCGGTTAGTTCCTCTTCATATTATCATAAACAAATACAGTATGTCCACAGGGCCAACGAATCCTCATCTGACCTGGAGAAAAATGGGGCACTCACTAGATCAAATGATGAAGTCAGCAAGCAGTGGAGTCTGTTCAACACAGCTGCTCAAGTCGCTCCAGTGCAGAGGAAAGTACACACATCACTATCAAAATGCTTGACTGGGATGCTTGAGAAACAGTCTCTGCATAGTCCACCCCTCGCTGGTTCCTTTCCATCCTTCTGAATGGGGACACAGAGGCAATGTTTGAAAGTGGAATCGACTTGTCTTAAAGCTGCTGATTCTCTAGCTGCGGAAACAAGTGGTTCATTGATGCCAGGCCCAGTGTATCACCCTGACAGACAGACCACTCCAGTATCAAAGGGGACAAAGGGGCCAGTTGCCACGTTGCCAATTAGCAGGAATTTCAGCCACTTTCCACCAGTCTCACAGGAGCTGACAGAAGCATCCATCGCTTTAACTGGAAGGCATTCATGGGATTCCAAGGAGCATGAGGTCCCCTGAAATCCAGCAGTCAGAAAGTACAATGGAGCATCTCGTACCACTCTGAGAAATGCTCACTGGTTGGCTGCATAGTGAAACTGGCAACACCTCTCATGGCTTTACAGTACAGTAAGTAAAAGCATTTAACTGGACAGGTCGGCAGTCTATCACAGGGCTGACGTGTAGACAAACACACGTCTTGCTGTGAGGCGACAGCGCTAACCACTGTGCCACCCGGATACTGAATCCATTGGATATAATATGGTTTATCTTCCTGCTGCCAAACACCAAATATACAAAAATACAAAGTCTGTGGTGGATACATGTACTATTAATATTCAAATGTAATGGCAATTTTATTTTCATTAAAAAACTACTGACATCTCACTGAAATACATCTCTGGAGAAATGTCTCAGATTCCAGAGACAGAAAACACCAAGCTGTGGCTTCATACATGGGATTTAGGTGAAGGCAAATCAAAAAGCTGCAACAACAACAACAACACTGGGTACAGGAGGTTCAAGTGTGTCTGTATGATTCTGTGGAGGAGTGGCCGCTTCTTTGTGCTGATGTCGTTGGATTTAAAAATAAAAATACACTTTTTATCTGAATACTTCAAATAGTAAAAACACACCTATCAGCAACCTCCCTAATACCACACATCCTCATTAGACAATCAGTGGGGTGGGGTATTTGGGTTTGCCCGGGACCCCAAAATCATTAAGTCTGCCCCTGTGCATGTGTAAAAGGTGTTATATACCAACTGTAGTCACAGCAAAAGGCATCATGGCGTCTTGCACAAAGTGTCTGAGAGCAAATTTAGTCTAAACACCAAACCAAGTTTAACTCTGTAGGTAGATGACAGCAGACTGAGTCAGCAGACCTGTGCTGTGATGCTGGATCAGCAGCGTGGCTGATGAACGGCCACAGTTTTAAGACACAAACAATATGGAGAAATACGCACTACATCTATGTGGCTTTGGCTAAATAAACAGCAGACTATATTACTTTGAGATCCACCTAATCTTTCCTATTATTAGTAACCACCACACTGGAGTCGATATTTGGGCCTTTGAGTCATGTTGAGTGGGAGAGACTAACCCTAAACATATGACAACCACATCCTCACAGTGTGTGGGATCCTGCCCGAGCATGTGTGTCCTCCACTGATCCCCTCACTAGCACTGACGGACAGCTGAGTACAGGAGACAAGCCCAGAAAGTGACTGCAGAGCATCTACAGCTGCTAAGTTTCACTTTGTCTTGTGAAGGCTTTCAGCCTGGGGGCCTCTTCAGAGGATGTGCACAGTGCACAGTGCCATTCCCCAAACGACTGCAGACGTGGGACTCTCTGCAGAAGCTGTCGTTTGAGTCAGACTGGCTGCAACCTGTGATTCTGGTCAATTAAAAAGTGAGCTGACAATTATTAGCCCATTAACAAAAGCAATTATAGACTGACTGCAAATGTCTTGTACAGAGAAGAACACGTTTAACGCATTTAGGACACACGTGTCAGTTGGACAGTGCCATGACCACGTCCATCTCCAGACAGTCTCATTCAGTTCTGGTCCGTTTTCATTAGTCTACTCACTAAGACACCAAGTTGGGGCTACTCACCAATGACGCGCTGCTGCCGGCGATTTGGCGTCGTCGTATCTTCTGCCGATCAAACAGGCGGGTTTGGCGTCAAACCATGAATGAAGTGACTGGACACACCAAAGCTGGCGGAGCCCGGAGTGGGGGCTTCAGGAGCGGGGGCAGAGTCAGTCGGTGCCAAACCCAGCGACAGAGGGTCCCATTCGGCTAGAGAGGAGAAAACCCCCGAAGCTAAGAAAACACCTTCATTAACATACAGACCCAAACACCCAGTGCCTCCTAAGTGACCTGTAGGATAGAAGTCCGGCTTTTGGTGAAGCACTAACCGACAGTGAGCTGCTGCGCTCGAACATGATCTAAACACTGGGATGTGCTGGAGGCGGAGAGGGGCGGGGCCTCCGGCCTTGTCTGGCTCTGATTGGTGGAAGTGTTCAGTCGACCTGTGATTTAGTTGAAAGTTGTTTCACAGAAGGGCCCCTCTCACCTGGTGGGAGCAGGCTCAGACCTGCCCGGGACAAACCCAGGTGTCAAGCTTATGGGTTAGCTGCTGTATCTGCTGTGTGAACTGATACACTGGGAATGGATGGGAAGCCAAAGCCTTGATCAGATTCAAGTGCTCTTCTGTAGCCATAACGTAATTAAGACTAATTGACCAGCTGGAAGTAAATGAATTAGGTGAGGGAGTCCTTACTGTGCTGGAGGTGGAGTGGGAGCCAGGAGGCCTACAGAACAGAGTTTCTGTTCCTCCATGGACAAACGTCCTTGTAGCCCTTTCCCCCCTTTAGTGGCATAATGCTGACACCTATGGTCCAAATGAGATAGTCACGGGATGCAGGACATTTCTTTTTCACAGGGAACTTTTAGCAGCACCCAGTGATGAAAGACGTCATCACATCACATTTACTCTAGAAGTCTGCAAGTAAAACTTTCTTTGACTGTAAAAAAAAATACTGTTTTACAGTTATAAGTCCTGCATTTAGGAAAAATATTATAAGCAAAAACATCCTTAAATGATCAAAAGTAAAACTATTTATTACGCAGCGATATTGTCACTTTCAAAGTTCTATTACTGTGTATAACTTTATTGGACTTTTCGTACTGATGCAGGACTGTGTACTTTAATGTTGGAGCTGGTTGTGGTGAAAAATCTCAGGTCTTCTCATCTGGAACAGTGCATCATAATATATAAAGGGATTATTTAGCTTATGTACTGAAAACATTAAAGTACAAATTAACTAGTGACTATCACTGTTACATAAATGTAGTGGAGTAAAGGTACGTTTCCCTGTGAAATGCATGAGAAACAAAGCTTTCATGTAAAGAAGAAGTACTTTCAAATTTGTTATTCACTAAAGTACTCGAGTAAATGTACTTAGTTACATTCCACCACTGGCAGCAGTAATATGTGCCTCTCATGTTTCGCCATTCATTCAGAGAACCTAAGCATCTGATTTTCTAAAAAACAATTATTGTTCCATGGAGATCTTTGAAAAACAGCTGTTAGGCAGCGACACACACAGAATCAGTCCAAACAAGCTGCATGTCTGTTGTACAGTAAAAAAGATTTAGTCATAACTCCATTTTCTAATCCAGGATATACACGACTTTGCTCTTTATGTAAAATATTTTTTAGGAAAATATAGCATGTTTGAGAGAAACATGAATATATAACCAAGTGCTAATAAATGGTTTCTTTGTGGCCGATGCTGTAACAGGCGCAACTTGGGAAACTGGTTAAAAATCTATTTTACTGTGCAGCAGACAGAACAGTTTTTCACCCAGGGCCCCGAGACAGGTCATGCATCTACTGGGATTTTCAGAGACTAGCAGCTGCAGCTACACAGTAGTAGGTACTGTGTGTTGCTCTTTGCTTTTTGCACTGATGCTAACATCAGTTTCTTACACTGAATTCTTCTTCCATAAGCATTACAGGGTGCTGTGTGTGTTTATGGCTGTATCTGCCTGCCTGCTGTGTCACTGGTACTGTGTGTTTGCCATGTTTCATATCACAAATTAGCTTCCCTCTGAGATAATAAGGGTAAAAGTTAAGTTACATCTAAAGTTAAAATGAGAAGGAACAATGAAGCAATAGTGTGCTCAAAAGAGATTTCAAATCCACTTTAAGGAGAGAAATGAGTTATAAACAGCTATGCACAGCAACCGCAGTAATTACAAGCACAATAAGTATTGAAAAAATATTCAAAAGTATTCAAAAATTGCATATGGAACCTCAAGGAGTCAAAGGACAGTTAATACATCATAATTAATATGTGGATGCTGGCAGTGCCAGATGAGGAAATATTAAGCAAACCAACATAATTCTCTGAGTTTGCACAGTAAGTAATCAGTGGACTAAGGGTCACATTTTAGCTTAGACAGAAATCCCATTTCACCTTTGGGACGTAACAAAAGTGAAGAGCATCTTCTATTCTTCATTACGTGACACTCCCAGGAGCACGTGACGTTAACAAAGCCACTAAAACATCTAATCAGAGATGAAACACGTCACTGTGTTGCTGCATCATAGGGACTCGGTGCTTGTCTTCTTCCATTATTTCTTGTGTCACTTCACATGTTTCACATCTGAATTACAATGTTTTCCAGTATTAGACTGTTACTGTATAGATCATTGTTACACTTGAACAGCTTAATGAGGATTATATGTGTATCTTGTAAATCTGACTTTTATTTGGTATTCTGTCACCAGGGTATAATACATTTTATCCAGATTTATGTCTTTGATGGACACTGTTTCTAAATGACTCCTCAGTCTCATCTCCTCTGGTTGTCCTTCATGTTTAACAAAATGGACTGTGCTACACAGCAAGGCTGCATTTCTGGGAAGAAAAAGAAATTGTCTTCTTGTTTTTCTTCTTCTAGTTCTCTTGTTCCCTCTGGTCTTTCATGCCCTGATTCTGTTTATAGTGTCAGTCATCCCTGTCTCTGGTGTCAGACGACCTTATGGGGAAGAGCATATCACTCTCTAAGGAGAGGTTGCTGCCCAGGCCGGCCATGCGGCTTCGCAGCAGGAAGTGTGTCCTCCTCTGCAGCAGCCTCTGCTGCTCCTGCTTCAGCTCCACGTAGGACCGTGAGAAGGTGTGGAAGATAGAGGTGACGGGGAAGGCCATGAGGAGGATCCCACTCAGGATGCTGCTGAGAGCCACCACCTGCCCTGGGATGCTCCTTGGCACCATGTCCCCGTAGCCCACTGTCGTCATGGTGATGACAGCCCACCAGTAGGTAGCAGGGATACTGGTGAACTCCTGTGTGGAGTTCATTTCATTCTCAATCAAGTACAACAAGGGGGAATACAGCGCAATGGCCACGCACAGGAAGAGGAGGAGCAGCCCGAACTCCCGTGTGCAGCGGCGTGCTGTCAGGCCCAGAGTCTGCAGGCCCAGGGAGTGGCGAGCTAGCCGCATCACATAGAGGATGCGCAGAGCTCTCAGGACTCGTAGCACCAAGCCCACTTTGTCCAGGTAGCTGCTGCCAGAGCCCAGCCGTTTCTCCCCTTTGGAGGTGCTGTCCACCAGAAGTGTGATGTAGTACGGCAGGATGGCCACCACATCGATCAGGTTCAGGGGCTGTCGGAGGAAGGTCAGCTTGCTCCGGTCTTGAATGAAGCGCAGGGTGAATTCCAAGGAGAACCAGGCCACACACACTGTCTCCACTATGAAGATGTTGTAACACATCTGGGAACATGTGCCCTGGTAAAGAAAAACAAAAACCTGTGGTCAACAGCATGTTAAGTGGTGGATGTCAGCACTAGAGGGAGCCACTTCGATGTGAGATCCAGGAGCTAAGCATGTTGGGATGCACAACTATTTAAGGACAGGAAAAGATCACTGATTGTGCTTGCACTGAAATGATACATTATTGATTTATGAAGACAAAAAAGTGAGTTGCATTTTTGAAATACCAATTTTGTTACCTATTTATAATGTGTGATTGGCATAATAATAAATAAACAGTAAACTCAGAACTTATAAAATGATCACTCTGTTCTTTGTGACGCATGTTTTAAGCTTTTTTTGGAAGGGAGGTGCTTTTCTTAGATGGAATAATGGTGCTGAGAAGTATTTCAATTTTTGAATGCAGGGAAAACATCATTATGAAACACACTCCTGCAGAGAAGGAGATGTTTTGAGTAGACACATACAAGCACCTGAAAACTCCAGTAAACTTGTTGTCAAAGACAGGAACATTTACACACTTTGCTGTCTGGCTGCAATAAATTAGAGACGGAGGAGCTGTTAGATTGAGATTACTGGCACTTTTAATGAAACAGCTTAGTTCAGACGTACTGAGAACAGTGAAGTGTGAATACAAAGCGAGTGTGTCAGGTAAATGTAACTTCAGTTATTTTGCTTGTTTTCTCTTCTTTCACTTTTCCTGCACACTGTCTGTGCTTGATTTGCTTCTGTGACTTTGTGACTGTACAAAAGACGTTCAACTCATTCTTCATTACATGTCCTTAATGTTCTTGTGCTCCAAGAAGCCACATGACTAAATAATCCAGAGTTAGAGAAGTGGGCCTACTGGCCTGACACCTGAGTCAGCAGCGTGAGAAGCCTACTGAGAAACGCGGACAACCTTGTTGGGCTCAAATGTTCGTTGTCAGTGCATTGTGGTGTGATTGCAGACAGCATGAAACACAGGACGACAGTGAGGTTTTGCTGCATCATGGCATTTTTTACTTTTCCTCACTGACATGAAATCACTTGTGAGTTTCATTGCCTCTCAGCAACATGTTGTTTACATGCAGTGACTGTGATATGTTAAATGTCATCAGTCTACTCACCGCCTCCTCCTCTTCCCTCATGGCAGGCATGGTGCTGATGGACAGGTTGATAGCAGTGATGGTGACAAACAGCACAGACAAACAAGCAAAGATCTTCCCCGGGAGGCCTGAGTGAGGCCTCTCCACCATGTCTCTTAGCTTGCCCATGCACCAGCTGAGTCTGGACTCGGCTACATGCTCCCTGCAGCCATTCTCTGAATCCAACAGATCCTCTAGAAGGTCCTCCTCCTCCTCTGCTCTCTCCATGGCTTCAAACTCCTCCACACGCTGCAGCAGACGCCGGCGACAACACCACTCCAGACTCTCCTCGGGGACCCCCCAGTAGAGCAGCTCTTCCCTGAAGGAGAGGGCGCACATCTGCCTGAGGGAGCGCAGCTTACCCGCCCGCAGGAAGGTCAGGATGTTACGGAAGGCACAGGGGCTGCGGTCGAAGAAGAACTCATTGTGTGTAACATCATAGTCATCACAGATGCTCATGATCTCATCAAAGCTGCTGCAGAGGTGCAGCTGGCCCAGGCGAGACAGGGGGAAGTCCTCTAAGGTGGTCCAAGGCAGCTGGTAGCGCAGGCCGCCCACATTGATGATGGCGTGGAGTTTACGAGCGCTGGACAGTGGTGTGTCATCATGGAGGGCGCTGAAGTCAGGGGCCCGCTGCGCCCTCCTGTAGAAGACTCCCTTTTGAGCCTCTTCCTCTTGTACAGGAGGTTGGTTGAGGGAGGAATCAGAGGCACAGCTCACAGCACTGTAGTCATAGTCTGAGCCATCACCCGCCAACAGGGTCATCTTTACTGGTTCGCTCACATCCCTGTGCTCAATCTCCCACCAGCACACTGTCACATTCAGATCTGGAAACAGACACATCACATCATAAAGGCTCTTATTGTTTATAAAAATTCTGTTATTTCTTAAAATGAACTTTTACAAAGTTAACTGGATGATAATAGCTTTGATCTAATGAGGAGAATCCCTTAACGTAAGCCTTCTTAAACTTATAGAGTGAAGTTGGACCAAAACCACTAAAACATCCACACTGGCTACTCAACAATGAGTAATACCACAGTGCAGCATTACATAGCATTAGAGATTTGCTTTTTATCTCTAATGGCCACTGAGAAGGCATAGCAGTATGTAAACAATCCTTCAAGAAATGCAATGAAACTTTGAAACCTGCCTGAAATATTCACAATCTCAGCTTCTAATATTGTTAAGCTACTAGGGGGCATTTCCTGTGTTCACATTTCTAATGTTACATCTTTTTCTTTGTATTATGCAGTGCTATAAAACAGTTAGTGTTTTGTATCACATTGAAAGAAAAAACAGTAAAAGTGTCAATGTGAACTGGCCCAGTATTCTCCCAGATACAGAACAGGTGCAGCCAAGTACATTTCATCAAAACCTGAGCCATAGTTTACATATGAAAATACTCCCAGACTACACTGTTGTATTGACAACATGACAAAGCGTTCTGACTGCCATGTTTGTAAGCGATGACACAAGGACTTGCCGTTCTGATGTACAGGTATGCTATTTATGGAGCTAAAGCCAAATGTCAGCCAACGTAGCGTAGCCTAAAGACTGGAGGTAGTGGGAAACAGCTAGCCAATGTTAGCAAAACATAGTTACAGCACATTAAGTCCCTCCATTACAAATTGTTGATTTTACTTGGAGGCACAGGAGGTAGAGCGGATGTCCCCCACCCAGAAGCTCAGTGGTTTGATTCCTGTTCTCTCCAGCCCACAAGTGTTATTGGGCAAGACACTGAACCCCAAGTTGCTCACGATGGCCAGAGCAGTGCCTTACAGGGCCAGCTCTGCCACCGGTGTGTGTGTGAGCTGGTACTGCAGATCGGTTCTGTACTGGAGACAAATTCCTTGGCCAATAAAAGTCATTATCATTACATTTCAGTACACAGCAAGTTAATCAATGAGCGTTAGAGGAGCTGCAAAACCAAGCTAGCTGTCATCCCCTGCTTTCAGTTGTCATGCTAAGCTAAATTAATTGACACCTGACTCTAGCTCCATTATTAGGGAGTGGACATGACAGTGCTAGGTCATCATGGTCCCTTCTCACTCTTGGCAGGAATGAGATTGTTGCCCAAACTATTCCTCTGTTCTTGGACAAACCTTGCAAAGGAAGCCAGAGAATGACAGATGGGATCATAGTGCTAAGTCTAAACAAGAAAGCTGCAAATATTTAAAATGTTTGCATTAAAAGCAGGAGAGTTTTGCTACAGCAGCTGCTGTCAGTCTAACCTACAGTATCACTCCCATGAGAGCACCAACTGAAAATTAAATTAAGCCTCTTTGCCTGCTACCTTGATCCACAATATTATTGCACATTACTAGCACATTACAAAAACAGCATGTCTGCACTGTTAGCAGTATGAACATGTCATTTATACATCATTAAACGTGGTCGTAATCTAGTTACATCAGACATCAAGGGATAAGAATCGCACTCCCTGCAGTGTGCATGAACATCTGTTACTGTCGGCAGCCTGGGAGTTATAAACAATGCCCTGATGTTACAATGGCTCTTGTTAGGTAACTCACTCGTGTAACTGTTTTGTGCTACATTATAAAAATGAATACATCTGTCTGGGTGTGTGTGTTTTAATCCCTCTCATATGGTTTTCAAATACATTCATTTCTGTTAGGTGTTGATTGAGGTGTGTGTACTGACATATAATTATGTTATTGTTGTTGTCAGACACTGACACCGGTATTTCCACAGTTTGTGCTCAACCACTGGCATATCTCTAAAATAAACCTAGATACAGTGGCTCCAGAAAGTGTTCAGACCCCTTCACTTGTGCGCACTTTTTTTTTTTGGTTTAATTTTAAATGGGCAAAGTTTTTGCTCAATAACCTATAAAAAAACAAAGTCAAAACATGTTTGGCTGAGAAATGAAGCCAGTGCTGAAGTGCCAAACGTGCAGTTCCTCAAAAGGCCGCTAGAGGCCGGCTCCAAGAGGCAGTCAGCTCCCATAGACTCCCATGTTAAATTGGCCCGCTTTACAGCAGAAATACGTGTTTACAGCGTAGTAGCGTTTCTAGCTGTTCTGAAAGACAGGCGGGGGGGGGCCGCCATAGGTCGCTGGGCACACCA